GAGCAGGGAGCCCGATGCGGGACTCGATCCCAGGACTCCAGGATCATGACCTGAGCCGAAGGCAGTCGCTTAACCAACTGAGCCACCCAGGCGCCCCATAAGCCTGTCTTTTAAAACCTCTCCCTCCATAGGTTCCAATGAGTGACATTAAGTGGAGCACATCGGAGCAGGGGTGGGGGGTGGCTGAGACCAGGCTGGATGCTCCTCTCCCTGGAATGGGGATGGAGGGCTGCTGGCCGAGGATGGGCAGGTGTCTCTGGGTTGCCCTGCACAGGTCAGGCGAGGCGGCTGGCCCAGGAGTGCAGCACCATCCAGAAGCTGCGGGCGCATAGTGGCTCAGAGGTGACCTATGAGCTGGAGCTGGACCATGAGCTCCACTGCACACAGACCCCAGCACTCAGCCACAAGGTGGGTGCCCTGGCTGGGCAGGGGTCTGGAGAGAGCTGGGAGCTCATCCTCACAGAGAAGGGTTTGCTCAAGGTCACGTATGGGAACGGAGCTGGAATCGGAGCTTTGGTCTCAGGCTTCCGTGCGTTGGTTCCGTTGGTCTTTATTGAACACCTGCTGTATGTGTACCACTCGGGGGAGACTTGTGTGCATGGCAACAGTTGGTCTGTGCCATCCCATTGCTGGGCAGGGGCAGAGAGAGAGAGAGACAGACCAAACCAAGAGAGCCATAAGTGATGTGGGTGGTAGGGCAGAGGCTGAGCAAACAGGTCAGGCAGTCTGGTTTGGATGGGGCAATGGGGAAGTCTTCAGAAAAAAGAAATTGTAAGTGGAAAATGAAAGCATGCAACAGTTCTGTTCCTATGGAAGCATGCTGCACACAGGGGGAATGGCAAGTGCAAAGGTCCTGGGACAGGAGGGAGAAATGGAAGGTCAGGATCTCGCAGTTCACCAGAGTGGCTGGCAGGGTGAGCAAAAGGGAGAAGCAAGCAGCTGTGCCTTTGTTTAATTTACTTAGTTCACGTTTGCCTCTCCCCCTGGATTCTTGCCCCCGTGAATGCAGGGTCTTCTTGATTCTTTATTCTTGGGTATCTGATGTCTGGTGCTGGGCATCATATTACTTGGTACTCGGGAAAGATGTGTTCGGTGAAGGAATAAATGAATGAGCCCATATTGCCTTGACCTGTGGTTCGGAGATAGGAGAGGGCCACAGGATGGCAGGTGTAAAACCCTGGTCCGCTTCGAGTCTATCCAGGGAGCCAGAGGCCACTGTGGGAGAGTAGGGGGCAGAGAGCCGTGGGGTTGGAGCCATTTTCCCACGGCAGCTGGCTCTTTCAGCCCCTTATTGGGGCATGGACCAGGGTGAGGCCCATGAGCCACTCGCCTCAGGCTCAGCATTTAAGGGGTACCAACAGCCCAGTCAGGTAGGTGAACCATATTCAGATGCGCTGTCCTGCAAAATCAAAATCAATGCAAAGACCATTCTCCTACAGAACTGTCTTCCCGGAGAAGCAAGCTTGCCTCCCCCAGGGTGGGTGGCCGGCAAGGAGGCCTGGGGACGGGGCAGACAAGGCTTTCTCGGGGATCTCCCTGGTGCGGTGTGTCCCCAGGTTCAGCTGCGGCACGAGGAGGGCTTGGGCTCCCTGCACTCACAACTGGAGGCCAGCTACGGGATGCGCTGGAATGAAAGCAGCAATAAGAGGAAGCTCCGCATCAGCCAGACCTTCCAGAACGACTCGGGTCCAGCCCTGAGCAATTACTTCATGGAGGTGAGCCCAACCTTGCAGAGCTTTAACTTGCATGGTGTTATGGCAGCTGAGCATCCCCCCCATCCCTGGCCCCCCACATGTCCCTTCGGGCCTTGGTTGCAAGGACGCTGCAGGCTAAAACTCAGCTTAGCGCCCTTACCCCTCTCCCACCTCTAGTCCCCGTGTCCCTGGGGGAGTCTAAGAGTCTAATACCTGCACAGCGTGCAGGGGTGGGTGGGGGAGGGACGCTCATCTGCAAGGATATTTGCAATGGGTTGTCTGCAAGGGGGCTTGGGAAGCACAGATTTCCAACTATACGTGCATTTGGGAAACGGCTTCACTTTCAGGTTTTACCGGAGGGTTATCTGTTTCTGGTAAGTAAAATATATGTGAGTGCTTAGCCACTGAATAGGCGATGGGCTCTTGTAAGGCACGCACTAAGTGTGTTTGTCTTTAAATTGTTTAAAAATTTTTTTAGTTGTGGTAAAATACATATAACCTAAAATTGACCATTTCTGCCATTTTTAGGTGTATGGTTCAGTGTCATTAGTTACGTTCACAGTGTTGTGCGGCCGTCACCATCACCTGTCCCCGGAACTTTTTCATCTTGTAAGCGTGAAACTCTGTCCCCGTTCAGGAATAACCCCCTACTCCCCACTCCCCCTGACACTTGCTATTTCCTGTTGTTTTGGATGGTAGCCATGCTAATGGGGGTGAGGGAGTACCCCATTGTGGTTTTGATGGGCATTTCCCTAACGCTGAGTGATGTTGAGATCTTTTCCACACCCCTGTCGGCCATTGGTTTATCTTCTTTGGAGAAATGTCTATTTAAGTCCTCGGCCCATTTTTGAGTCAGGTTGTTTGCTTTGTTGTTACTGCATTGTTAGAGTTCTTGATACATTCTGGATATTAACTACTGATCAGATACATAGTTTGCAGATATGTTCTCTCATTCCACCCATTGCCTTTTCCATTCTTTGACAGCATCCTTTGGTCCATAAAAGTTTTACCTGTGCAGGTGGTCTGATTGGTCTCTTTTTACTTTTGTGGCCTGGGTTTTGAGTGTCCTATCTAGGAAATCCTCGCCACATCCAATAGTTTTCCCTCTGTGCTTTCTTCTAAACGTCTTCTAGTATCAGCTCTTAACATTTAGGTCTTTGATCCATTTTGAATTAGTTTTTGTGTGTGGTGTGAGGTGAGCGTCCAGCTGCATTCTCTTGCATGTGGATATCCACTGGTCCCAGCACTGTGTGTCGGACAGACTGTGCTTTCCCCCGTGGAGTGTGCTTGTCATGCTTGTGGAAAAATGACTTGATCACAAATGTGAGAGTTTATTTGGGGGGGCCCTATTCTATTCCATTGGTCTGTATGTCTGTCTGTGTGTCCCTGCCATACTGTTTTGATTACTGTAGCTTTGTGAGACCTCCAACTTTGTGCTCCTTTTCAAGATTGTTTGGGCTGTTCAGGGTCCCTTGAGATCCCATCTGAATTTTAGGACGGATTTTTCGGTTTCTGCCACACACACGAAAATGCCATTGTGATTTTAATAGGGATTGGGTTTGATCTATAGGATGCTCTGGGGAGTACTGACATCTTACCAGTATTTAGTCTTTCCATTTACGAACACAGGACATCTTTCCATGTAGTTGCATCTTTAATTTCTTCTAGTAACATTTTGTAATTTCCAGCTTGCAAGTCTTTGGCCTCCTTGGTTAACTTTATTCCCAAGTACTAAATTGCTTTTAAATACCAATACTGTCTGAATAAATTCTCCTTGTGAAAAAAAAGTCACACTTGAAATAAAGCTAAAATTCCTTTCTCAGTCTCCGTCTTCCATCCCGGCCCCCTCCTCAGTTACCTGGAAGAAAGAGCAGTTACATTCTAGGGTGCTGGGAGGGAGATCTCTTTCTGTTCCTTTGCTCTATGTGCCGGTCACAGGCACTTGGTTTTGTTTGGTGAGTCTTTCTGTGTGCATCCTTCAGCTATGGGTGTTGGAGAACTTTCTTGTTACTTTGTAGAGATCTACTCTATTCTTTTAAACTCCTGCATCGTGCTCCACCCGTAGCTATGTTCCATCTTATTTGGCCATTGCATGCTTGTGGTTTCTGGTGATGCAAGCCTGAACATCCTTGGGCACCCATCCCTGGGTACATGTGTGCCAGAGTCTCTGGGGCACACGTCATAATACGTAATTTCTGGGTTTTAGAATTTGCCTATTTTTAATTTGCTGTCTTGTGACAGTTTGCCCTCCAAAATGTTCGAACCGATCACCCTTCCCTCCAGCCATGTCCACGAGGAGCAATTTCCATACTCCGGCCAATACTTGACTTTTAACATTTGAAAAACTTTGCTGATCTGGATGGAAAGGATATCTCGTTTGAATTTGCATTTCCCCGACCACTTAATAATGCTGAGCACCACCTTTTCTGTATTTTTTCTACCATTGCATTACCCTTTCTGGGGATGGCATTTTTGTATTGACATTTGAAAAAAACTAGAATTTTGACTTGATTGGTAGGAGTTCTTTATATAATTGCAGTACATGCGTTATGTTACTATTCTAAATTGTGGAAATTTCTTATTTCTGGAAAGCATCTGGTCCCAAAAATTTTAGTGAAGAGATTAAAAGAATGCTTGTTTCTGCAAGCCTTCTCAAATGTGGCAGACACCACGCTAGGTTCTGGGGAGACATGCGTAAGATACTATTTATCCTTAAGAAGCTGACAGTGAACAGAAGAGGGAAGGGCAAAGTGAGCAGTGATGAGCCACTTATTATTGCCAGGCTATGTTTCAGATGTGTTGTTTGTATTATTTCATTTAACCCTTGTGAAGTAACCATTATCCTCATTCTACCGAGGAGAAATTGCGTAAACAGACTTGTCTGGGGTCTCACAGCTATTATGTGGCAGGATTGGAATTGAAATTCCAGTAGGCTTCATTGCATACCTTAGGCTCTTAACCTCTTGGCTGGACTGGATTGTGCCAGAATTAATTGACTAGAAAATAATTTACTAAATGATTAGTCAAGAGGGGAAAAGACTTCCCAGTTCATTCTATGAGGCCAGTATCATCCTGATGCCCAGACCAGACCAGGACATCATGAGAAAAGAAAAACGAAAGACCTCTTATAAATACAGATACAAAATCCTCAAGAAAATACTACCAAACTGAATTCAGCAATATATAAATAGAATTACACAACATGACCAAAGGGGCTTTATCCCCAGAATTCAAGGTTGGTTTCACATTTGAAAATCAATCAAGGTAATATACCATATTCATGGAGTGAAGGATGGAAACCACATGATCATCTGAAGAGAGGCAGAAAAAGTATTTGGCAAAACCCCATACCCTTTCATGATAAAAACACACAATTAGCAATGGAAGAGCACTTCCTCAACCTGATAAAGGCCATCAATGAAAAATCCACCGCCAGCATCAAACTTAATGGTAAAAGCCTAACTGCTTTCCCTCTAAGATCAGGAAGAAGCTAGGATGTCTGCTCTCACCACCTCTATTCAACATTGTACTGGAGGTTTTAGCTAGGGCAGTTAGGCAAGAAAAAAAAAATGAAATGCATCCAGATTGGAAAGGAAGAAGTAAAACTATTTCTGCTTACAGATGACACTGTTATATGTAGAAGACCCTAATGAATCCATGAAAAGATCTATTAGACCTAATAAATGAGTTCCTCAAAGTTGCAGCAGACAAGATAAATATACGAAAGTCAGTTGTATTTCTCTACACTAGCAATGAAAACTGTGAAAATTAAATTAAGAATTCCATTTGCAGTAGTGTCAAAAAAGGATAAATACTTCAGCACCAATGTAACAAAAGAAAGTAAAACTAATACTCTGAAAACCACAAAATGTTGTTGAAAGAAATTAAGGAAAGCTGAAATAAATGGAAAGACATCCCATGTTCTTGGATCGTAAAATGAATCTTAAGATGGCAACATTTCCTAAATTCATCTACAGATTTGATAGTCCCTATCTATGCCTATCCAAAACCACGTGATCTCTTTTTGCTGAAATTGACAAGCTGATCCTAAAATTCATATGGAATTGCAAGGGACACAGAATAGCCCAAACCACCTTGAAAAAGAAGAACAAAGTTGGAGAACTCATTCTTTCCAATTTCAAAACTTACTGCAAAGCTCTGGTAACTAAGGTAGTATGGTAGTGGTGTAAGGGTAGACATACAGACCAATGGAGTAGAATTGGGAGTCCTGAAATAAAGCCTTATATTTACAGTTGGTTGATTTTTGACAAGACTGCCAAGACCACTGAAGAGGGGAAAGAATAGTCTTTTCACCAACGAGTGCTGGTACCACTGGATATCCATGTGCAAAAAGAATGAAGTTGGACGCTTACCTAATACCATATATAAAAACTAATGCAAACCAGATCGTAGACCTAAATTGAAGAACTATAAAACTCTTGGAAGAAAACATAAAAGTGAATCTTTACAACCTTAGAATAGGCAAGGGTTTCTGAGCTTTGACACTAAAAGTGTATTAACAACAACAAAAACTGATACATTGGGATTCATCAAAATTTAAAAAGTTTATGCTTCCAAAGACTCCATCGAGAAAGAGAAGTAACCCACAGGATGGAAGAAAACATCTACAAGTTTTATGTCTGATAAGGGATTTTTTCCCCCAAATATATAGATAACTCTTACAACTCAACAAGAAAAAGACAAGGGATTTGAATAGATATTTCTTCACAAAAGGTATACACGTGGTCAATAAGCACATGGAACGATGCTCAGTGTGATTAGGGAAATCAGAATCACAGTGAGATAGTACTACAAACCCACAAGCAAGGGTAAAAACAAAAAAGACACTTAAGTGTTGGTGAGAATATGGAGATGTTAGACCTCTCGTATACTGGTTGGAATCACCAAATGGTATGACAGTATGGAAAAACAGTTTGGCGTATCTTTAAAATGTTAAGAACAGAGTTACCAAATGATGTAACAATTCTACTCCTAGGAACTAGAGAGAATTGAAAACCTGTGTTCACACAAACCTGTATGGAATAGTTATAGAGTATTATTCATAATAGCCAAAAAGGAGAAACAACACAAATGCTCTTCAACAATGAATGGATAAATAAAATAGGATTTATCCATACAATAGAATATTGTTCAGCAATAAAAAGGAATAAAGTTCTGATACATGCTATAATACACCATGCATGAATCTTGAAATCATCATGCTAAGTGAAAGAAGCCAGACGCAGAAGGCCACATATTATATGATTCCACTTATACGAAATGTCCAGAATAGGCAAATCCATAGTAACAGAAAGTAGATTCATGGTTTCCAGGGGGCAACAGGGAGCGACTGCTAATGGGTACAGGGTTTCTTTGGGAGTGGGCTGGGCAGTTCCTGATAACCAGGGAACTCAGTCCAACCCCTGGCTGTCGTGGTGAGCCAGTGGAATGTTCTAGGTTGGGAGTGGAGTCATCTGATTAGCATCTTGAGCACGGGTCTCCTCCAGTTTGTGCTGCAGGTGCCTGAGAGGCAGGTGGATTACCGTATGCAGCTCTATCACTCAAGCCTTCGCCAGCCACACGTGGAGAGCAGCACACACCTGAAGGTGCAGTACAATGGGCAGCTGCCCTTTGTGGCAGGCCTGCAGTGGAAGGACACGTCTCGAGCTACCCTGTGGAAGTGGGAAGGTGAGTGTCATCTCTAGACTCTTTGGCTAGGAGTTAAGATCTCTGGACCCCAGGCCTTTGCCCGGACTGTGCCCATTACCTGGAGTAACCTTTCCTTTGTGTTGGTCTGGATGTCAAGACTCAGACCTTTAATGTGTCCCATGACACTTACAATTATATCCTGATTCCTTCCCCTCATCAATAGAGCTCTACATGACTGTCCCTTGCCTGATTCTCCAGGCTTCTCTTACCCCAGTTTACCTGTTGCCCATTATCCTGCAGCCCCACTGGCCTCTTTTCCATTTCTCCAAACATACCTCAGGGCCTTTGCAGTTGCTGTTTCTTCTCCCCAGAACACTCTCTCACTTTTAAGAAATGGATTTGCCATAGTTTATCCTTGAATTAATTTTATTTTTATTGCAGTAATACATAGGTTGAAAAGTAAAGTAGAAACTATGAGTTGGTAATTGTTGAAGGTGGTGAGTATTACATAGGGGCTCATCATATTATGTTCTCTACTCATGTATGTACCTGAAATAATTCTTTTAAAGTTTATTTTTTAAAGCTAGTGTATAATAAATACAGTAATCCTCTGCTTCATGTCTTCCTATCCCAAGTTTTGCTTAAAACAGCAACCACTGTAAACTGTGTTAGCTCTTTCTTGTTAAGCTCTTTGGCTCTTAAAACACTGTAATTATACTGTTATTTCTTGATTTTTCTTTTTTAGGCCTTCTCCATATATTTCTAACCAGAGAGGATGAGAATTTAACTCTTAAACCCTTTTCAGATATCTATTTCCCTTCATCCCCCTAAAAGAGTTGGTCAGTGAATATTCAATATTTACTTAATTGTGACTCTGTATGTGTCCTTCATAGCTGAGATACATGGTATACTATGATTCTAACTTTATGTTTTTCCTGGAGTTATAATTGTCTTTTTCCCGTTTGACCAGTTTTCTATTTTCCTCTTTATAATTATTCCCAGAATTTTTAGTGTAAGTACAAAACTTTTTCCAGATGGTCAGACACATCAGATTATGTATCAGCTTCAATTAGTTCTTACATGTTTCTTGGAGACCTTCTTCCTGGATCCTCTGTCTTTCTGCTCCAATGTAGACCGGTTGCACAGCTTTGGTTCTGGGGCATCCCTTCCCAGTCATCCTGGAAATTCCTTCCACTTCTCTGGGTCACAGCCCTGTTTCTTGCACTCATGTCATCTTCTTTCTTGGTTTACTCTTTTGTTTTGATGGAGCACATCTTCCAGCAGCTTCCTGAGAGAAGTGTATTAGTTTCCTAGGGCTGCTTTAACAAATGACCACAAACTGAGTAGCTTAAAACAACAGAAATGTATTCTCTCACCAGTTCTAGAGACTAGAATTCTGAGTTCAAGGTGTCGTCAGGGCCATGCTCCCTCTGTAACCTGGATAGAATTCTTCCCTGCCTTTTCCTAGCTCCTGATGGTGGCCGTTGCTCCTTGGGGTTCCTTGGCATATAGTGACATTGCTCTCATCTCTGTCTCTGTTGTCACTTGGCTTTCTCCTGGTATGTGTGTGTCTGTGTTTAGACTTCCCTCTTCTTTTTTTTTTTTAATTATTTATTTATGTATTTGACACAGAGAGAGAGAGGGAGACAGCGAGAGAGGGAACACAAGCAGGGGGAGTGGGAGAGGGAGAAACAGGCTTCCCGCTGAGCAGGGAGCCTGATGTGGGGCTCGATCCCAGGACCCCGGGATCACGACCTGAGCCGAAGGCAGACACTTAACCGACTGAGCCACCCAGGCGCCCCTTCCCTCTTCTTAAAAGGACACCAGTCCTATTGGTTTTAGGGCCCACCCTACTCTAGTATGACCTCATCGTAACTACTTATATCTGTGATGACCTCATTTCCCAAATAGGGTCACATTCTGGGATATACCGGGGGGTTGGGATTTTGTATATTTTTGAGAGACACAATTCAACCCATAATGGGATGTAAACATTTTGCACCCCTGAATGTTTAAATTGTCTTCATTGTACCTGGGTAATTTGGCCAAGTAGAGAATTTTAGTTTTCCTCTTCGGATTTTGAGGACATCGCTCCAGTGTCATTTCAAATAGGATGCTATTTCTGGGCCATCATCCTTTGAATGTGCCCACTTTCTCACTCTCTGGAAGCTTTTAGGAACTTCTTTGTATTCCGAGTGTCTTCAGATCTTATTATGATGTGCCCTGGTGTACAGTGACTTTCATCCATTGTACTGGGCACTTCACTTAGACCCTTTCAACTTGGAAACGTCATTTGGGTCTGGGTAATGTGCTTGTACAGTTTCTTTGATAATCTCCTTCTTTCTGGCTTCTGGAATTCCTGTTGGTCAGATGTTGGTCCTCAGAAACTGAGCCTCTAATTTTCTTTCTTTTCTCTCCTTGGTTCCATCTCCTTATCTTTTTTTATTCTGTTTTGAGGACCTATTTCCTTAACTCCATCTGCCAGCCCTTCTACTACATTTTAATTTTGGCTATCTTGTATTTCCAAGAGCTCTTTTTTGTTCCCAAGAGTTCTTTTCTTATAGTGTCCTGTCTGCGAACACAACTCTTCTTACTTCTCTGAGCGGATACGTTACAGAACTGGGGGACTTTGATCTGTTCTCCTTGAGTTTCTCTTAACTTTTTTTCTGAATTGCCTCAAATGTCAGACAAGACTTAGGTATGTGCTGTGTTTAAGGACTGGCCACTCAGAGCTTATTTGGAAGAAGCTCTACATGTGTTTGGGGGTACACTTTGATGGGCTTCTCTGTCGAGCAGTTGAACGGGGAGCCCTGGGGTTTGTATCTGTGGATCTTTCTTTTTCATTCTGTTCTTTCATGGAGCAGTTTTCCCATGCCTGTGGGACGTGTGCAGCGGGGCAGGGCCCTGGGCTATTCTCTTCAGCATCTCCCTGTTCTCACATGGGCAGCTCACCCTCTGTCCTCATTGTGTCTCGTTTCCCTACATCCAGGCTTCTCTGCCTCAGTTTGCCCAGACAGTAAATCTCCAGCAGGTGGGAGGTCGTCCTCCCCTTTGACAGACTCCCACTGCTTTTCATTTAGGTCTCTGCTCAATTGTCACTTTCTCATGGGAACCTTGGCTGTCCTGGGCCGATCCTCATCAACCCCCCCCTTTATTTTCCTCCATGGCACTCAGCATTTTTTACTTAGGTCTCGTTATATGTTTATTTGTTCAAGATCTGTCCCTCCTGCCATCCACTGCCTCTGGACTGCTAGTTCCATGATGGCAGGAGCTGTGCCTGCTTGTTTACTGCGCATCCCCAGTGTCCCGAGCAATACTGGCTGAATTAGTCCTTGAATGGATTAGGCTATTCATGACAAAATACGAGACCTGCTTTCAGTGAATCATGGACAGGCAAAAGGTTATATTGAATGTCACCTTTTTGATGATGGTGGTGAGAGTGATGGCTCTTCCTTTTTTTTTTTTTTTTTAAAGATTTTATTTATTTATTTGAGAGGGAGAGAGAGCACATGAGCAGGAG